AATAAACACACACACACATATAGGACACAGATATGCTGTACTGTAGAATATACTGGTGCACACATCCCTATGGCATAAAGGTATGAGTAGTCCATTAGATGATTATGTATTAGATTTATTTGCAAAGACATTCCAAACTGAAATAAAAAAGAAACAAGGAGTTCTAAACAGAAGGAGAGGCCAGTCCCCACACAGATGCTCCATAATCATGCCTGTAGCATAGGGAAGAAGGGCTGGGAGACGCTCCACAGACACGGCCGCAGCAGCAGGTAATGGGGCACCTGCATTAAAGATGCACACACTCACATGCCTCCTGGCAGAACACAGGTCTCCCTTTGATGTTGAGAGTATTCAAGGAGGCACAGCTGTCCAAAGCCATTCCAAGACCAGTGATTCTGACGTGGAGTTCCCAGCCTCTGGTCCCTGTGATGAGGAATAACCTGTGTTTTGGAATGCATCACAAGACGTGGTTCTCACTCTTAGAAAGGCTTTCCTTGCTTTTTATTACTAACCTTCTTCCTTCTGATGGGTATTACAAAATCAGCTTTTCACACCAGACCTCTGATGCAGGCATGCACGGGGGCCTTTGTGTAAACACACTCTCTCTGGTTCAGCCCACTGGGAATTTTTATATCTAGGAGCATTGAAGTATCTATAATGGGCACAGAAGTTTAGTAGAAACCTTGTTCCCATTCCTTGGGCAAGTGGCCACACATTCTGAGACAGCAGCTGGGTGCAGGTCACAACTACTGCATGTTATCTGGCTGAGGTATTTGTTTGGTGGTTTGTCTAAGTCATCCCAGGCATAGTGTGTCACTGAGGACCGTTACCGCCCATGGCTCTGAAGTAAAAAAAAAAAAAGAAAAAAACTTATGATGGTACTTTACTTGCTGGGGTGGATGGTGATTTCCTTCTCCAAGTTTTATGGCAAGCCATTTAAAAGAAAAAAAAGCCTGCCAAAGGAAGCTGTGGGATAACTGCCCCTGAGAATTTGTGCTTGGCAGTGTGTGAGTCGGAAATCAGGTTTGTGACAGCTCTCTGAGCAGACTTGGGCTTCTTATCCAATCTGTGGCCATGTTTGTAGTTCTGAAGGCTGAATGGCCTTTTCAGTGGTGATGGATGATCAGGTAGCCACTAAAATGAAACTTGTTTCAATGCAGTTATTTTGTTAAAAGCATTATGAGTAGGCAGGGTAGGAGGAGAGCTAGTTCCCCACGTGGCACAAGGTGCCTGGAATGGGCACAGAAGTCTAGTTGTGACCTTGTTCCCATCCCTTGGGCAGGCTGTGCACATTCTGAGACAGCAGATGGGCACAGCAGGAAAGGATGCAAATGTCACTCATGTGTGTGACGGTTTGCCCTGTGTCACACTGACCGCAGCGAACAGAGTGTCCCATGCATAGAGTGGGCTTTGTAGTCACTGTTGAATGAGATTGCCACGGCCTTTCTCCTGACCTTTAACGTTGCTATCTACAGTTGTGGAAGTCAACAAGAGGGACATAGTCTTCCTGGTGGATGGCTCTTCTAGCCTGGGGCAGGCCAACTTCAATGCCATTCGAGACTTCATTACCAGAGTCGTCCAGAGGCTGGAGATTGGACAGGACCTTATCCAGGTGTCAGTGGCTCAGTATGCAGATACTGTCAAGCCAGAGTTCTATTTAAATACCTACCCCGGCAAAAAGGAGGTCATAACTGCCGTGCGAAGGATGAAGGCCCTGGAAGGCCCAGCCTTGTACACGGGCTCCGCTCTAGACTTCGTTCGCAACAACCTGTTCATTAGCTCCGCTGGCCACCGGGCTGCTGACGGTGTTCCTAAGCTCCTGGTGCTGATCACCGGCGGTAAGTCCTTCGATGGGGTCAGCCAGCCTGCCCAGGAGCTGAAGCAGAGCAGCATCATGGCCTTCGCCATCGGCAACAGGGCCACCGACCCGGCCGAGCTGGAAGAGATCGCTTTTGACAGTTCCCTGGTCTTCATTACCACCGAGTTCCGCCCTGCTCCTTTGCAAAGCATGCTACCCAGCCTGCTGGCACCCCTCAGGACCCTCACCGGAACCACTGAAGGTATGGGGACTGTGGTTCACACATGTAGGAAGGGGGCCTGCAGGAAGGACCCTCCAGAAAGACCCAGTAATGTACTGATGTTTAGGTAGTAGACAGCCACACCAAATGTTTATTTCAGGTTTGATATTTTTCCCCCCAAAGGTCGAGAACCGTAGAGTTGAAAATGCCATACTGTAAACCTTCTTGATCTTAAACTCTAGGCCACCTGTCTGCGCAGCTTCTGTCCAAAGAGGTCGCTCTCCAACCTTGGGTTGGGACTTCTTTTGTTTCCACTGGTGACCCTTCCCAGACTCTCCCTACCACCAAGGAACTTCTTTCCTGAGCTGACAGCATCTCTACTGATGGGGAATGGAGTGCTCTCAGTGTTTAACCCCTCTTTCCTCTCTTTATAAGGGGTTTCCTTCAAGGGGAAAGCATGTTGCACGGATGGGTATGAAGACCAATCCCATGGTCCTTCAAATCCCTCATTTAATATGATTGGCAGTGCAGCGCTAGTCCTAAGGGCTCGGTAAAGCTTTCTGGGTCTGTGAATTGTATAAACGCAACCCGCCGTCCTCAATGAAGAGAAGATGAATATCTCAGAACCCAGCTTGCCTGCCTCACAGACCACATAACAGCAGAACTGCTTGGTGCATGAGCTTACCTCATGGGTGCCTGCTTGCTCCTCTGAACCCCTGATCTTGGAAGTTCTAACTCTCTCTTTCTCTCTCTCTCCCCTGCTTTTAAACCTCTAAGCTACTCTTTGATAATTAAAGTTAAATTTGATAAATATAGGATCCAATTAGTCTAAATTACAGTGAGTTATCGGAGAAAAAATAGAAACTATGGTTTTTAAAAATATTTTATTATATTTTTATTTTATGTGTTTGAGTATATTGCCTGCATGTATGTAAGTGCACCCATGTTGTGCAATGTCTGAAGAGGCCAGAAGAGGGCTTTAGATCCATTGAAACTGGAGTTATGGACAGTTGTTAGCTGCCATGTAGGTGCTGGGAATCGAACCTGAGTCCTCTGCAAGAGCAGTCAGTGCTCTTAACTGCTGAGCATCTCTCCAGCCTGAAACTGTGGTTTTTAAAGGCACAGGCTAAATGTGCCTGGGAGATAAAACACCTGCCCTTCAGCATCCATGATGGATTGGTCTATCCACCTGTCGATACAGCAATCTCTGGATGCTCAAGTCCCTTGTTTAAGGTGGGGTAGTGCTTGCATATAATCTGTGTAACCCTCCTATGTGGCCTTCATCAGCTCCGCATTATTCATAGTGCCTAAAATCCTGCCAACACCATGCAGATAGCATGCTGCTGTGTTACATGAGGATATCGACAAGGGACAAAATCTGCTCATGTTCGGTTTATAGAGATTTTTTCAAATATTTTGAGCCTTGGTTGATTGAGTCCACTGATGTGGAGCTCACACATCACCCTTTAATTCTTCATGCATGTAACCTTGGCTGAGTACAGCAGATGGTGTCTGTGTTTTATTAGTTACCTACTGTATTAGTTACTTTTCTGATTACTGTGACAAAATACCCGACTGGAGCAACTTAGCGAAGCAGGTGTTGGCTTTGGCTCACAGTCCGTCATGGTGTGTGAGGCGTGGTGGCAGGAATGTGAGGTAGCTGGCCGTATTTACAGTCAGGAAGCAGATTGGGAGACGAACATTGGTGCTCAGCTGTCTCTATTTTGTTCATTCAGCCCAGCCCACGGAATGACATTACCTACATTTTGGGTGGGTCTTTCCCACCTCAGTTAACCCAGTCTCAAAACTCCCTCATAGACAGGCCCAAAGGTTTGTCTCCTGGGTGATTCTAGATCCTGCCAAGTTGGCATCGATATTAACTATCACATCTACGATCCTGCCATACCACCTTGAAGGATCTGCCCACCAGTACAATGACCCCAGTAGGATAGGGGACCAGCAGAGAATGCCAGGGGGTTATCTGAGAGGACTCCAGGTGAGGACCACTGGCTTTTTCCTTTGAGACAGAGTCTCCCTGGAGCCCTAATTGGCCCAGAACTCACTACGTAGACCAGGCTGGCTTTGATCTCACAGAGATCTGCTGCCTCTGAACCACTGGCTTTGACTTGCTGGTTGTTTTAAGGAGGATGTGTTCCCAGGTCCATGTGGGCTCACTGCTCCTAAGCTATGGCTGGGAGAAAGAGTCCTGTACCCAGAGGACCCAGGCATGCAAGCGACCACTGGGACCCCAGTCCTGGAGACAGTGGAACTGAAAGGCCAGCACCCATGTGGAGTTCAGTTGCAGGGAGAGACTGTGTGTCTGGGATTCTGGTAATTGTTGTTTGCACACGCTCTAACTGGCATGTTGTCTCTGTGAGCCCCTTAGTTTCTTACACTTGGCTATCAGTGTGCCTTCCAAGTCCCAGTCACCACAAGAGGAAAATATGCAGCCGCCGCCATGTTTTGCTAGAAGATAATGCTCTGTCACGCTGACCTGCTCTATGTTCCGAGTGTTGGCATGTGTGCCCCGTCACGGACACACATGAGAAGCCTTCGTGGTTGTGTGTCTCACTGTGTTTTCTGTGCTTCACTGCAGTTCACGTAAACAAAAGGGATATCATCTTCCTTTTGGACGGATCTGTCAACGTTGGAAAAACCAATTTCCCTTATGTGCGTGACTTTGTAATGAACCTAGTTAACAGCCTTGATGTTGGAAGTGACAATATCCGTGTTGGTTTAGTGCAATTTAGTGACACTCCGGTCACGGAGTTCTCATTAGACACTTACCAGACCAAGTCAGAGCTGCTTGCTCACCTGAGGCGCTTGCAACTCAAGGGGGGCTCGGGCCTGAACACGGGCTCAGCCCTAAGCTATGTCCATGCCAACCACTTCACGGAGGCAGGCGGCAGCAGGACCCAGGAACACGTGCCTCAGTTACTGCTCCTGCTCACGGCTGGGCGTTCTGAGGATGCCTATCTGCAAGCTGCTAATTCCCTGGCACGTGCAGGTGTGCTGACCTTCTGTGTGGGGGCCAGCCAGGCGGATAAAGCTGAGCTCGAGCAGATTGCTTTTAACCCGAGCCTGGTGTATCTCATGGATGATTTCAGCTCCCTACCAGCTTTGCCTCAGCAGCTGATTCAGCCCCTAACCACATATGTTAGTGGAGGTGTGGAGGAAGTTCCACTCGCCCAGCCAGGTAAACTCCCAGGGATGTGGGCCCTTCTCCTTCCTCAGATGCCTCCCTGGCAGCAGTAGCCAGTTGGAAGCCCCGAGCCTCTCCCCTGTAGAAGGACAGCGGGCTCACTTTGGTTGGACTGGTTGAAGACACCGTACCAGCAAGTTAAGATTCTAAAGGGTATTCACTGTGAAAGTCTAGAAAGCCATGCTATGTTCATGTCATCTCACATTTATTCAGAAGCCAGTGCGCACTCTAGAGAGAAAATCCAGGGGGGAAGGTGGGGGAGAAAAAGAGGAGGTGAGGGGAAAGAGATGGGGGGAGGGAGGGGGAGAGGAAAGGAGGGAGGGAGGGAGATTCTCTCATACATAAGAATGCTTTGGCATCTTTTAAAATTTGAAGTTCCTTTACATGACAGTTTACATTCAGACTCTACTATTTAAAAAGGCACCTATAGGGCTGGAGAGACAGCTTAGAAGTTAAGAGCACTGGCTGCTCTTTCAGGACTGGGTTCAGTTCCCAGCACCTACATGGTGGCTAATAACCATATGTAACTCCAGGTTCTAGGGGATCTATCTGATGCCCTCTTCCAGCCTTCGTGGGTATTGCATGCATGGGCGTACTGACATTCAAGCAGGCAAAACTCTCCTACACATACAAAGAAAAATAAATAAATAAAAAATTAGAACCACTTGCATCTTCATGCAATAATAAGTCTGGATTCTTATTACTGTGGCCAATCATTACTATTATAGTGATGGATGCACATGATCTACCAGCTTGCTGACTTCACATGCATGGGTGACAAGTTGGAAGTGTTATCAGAGGCCTGAAAGGCACTATTTTGGGTCTTAATTCATGACCTCAAAGTTACTGAAAACACGATAGAGTTTGAGAAGACACAGGACAACCCAGTTATCCATGGATAGTTGATCTATAACCAGTCTCTGTCACTGGAGTTGGAGCTCCACGTTTAGCAGAAGTATTAGCAGGAGCCTAGTTTGGATAGTTTTATTTGTGACAACATGAAAACACCACCTGTTCTTCCAGTGAGCCCTGGTGCAAGAACAGAGCTCGCAGCCTTTGCAGTGGCTCAGTGCTGTCCCATTACGGTGCACCCCACTATTCTTGAACAGCACATCACACAGCATCGCCTGTTCTGCTTTCTTGCTGGTACAGTGATCTCAGATGAGTCTCATGAGCTCCCATGCCATGTGGTGGTGCTAGGCTGAGTCTGCTTGCTGTCAACATCACGTCACTCACTGTGTCCCATCTACTTTCCTTGTAGAGAGCAAGCGAGACATTCTTTTCCTCTTTGATGGCTCAGCTAATGTCATGGGCCAGTTCCCCGTTGTCCGAGACTTTCTCTATAAGATCATTGAGGAGCTGGATGTGAAGCCAGATGGGACCCGGATAGCAGTGGCTCAGTTCAGTGATGACGTCAGGTTGGAGTCCCGCTTCAGTGAGCACATGAGTAAGGCTGAGATCCTGAATCTTGTGAAGAGGATGAAGATCAAGACGGGCCGATCCCTCAACCTCGGCTACGCCTTAGACTATGCGCAGAAGAACATCTTTGTGAAGTCAACTGGCAGCCGCATTGATGATGGCGTGCTGCAATTCCTGGTGCTGCTGGTTGCTGGAAGGTCATCAGACGATGTGGACGGGCCGGCCGGTTCCCTGAAACAGAGTGGAATAGTGCCGTTCATCTTCCAAGCCAAGAATGCTGACCCTGCAGAGCTGGAGAAGATTGTGCCATCTCCTGCGTTCATCCTGACTGCGGAGTCGCTGCCCAAGATTGGGGACCTCCAGCCACAGATTGTGAACCTTCTGAAATCAGTGCAGAGTGGAGGGCCTGTTTCAGGTACGATGCAGCAACACGGGGGCCCCTATAGCCCAGATTTCTAGGTCAAGTTGAGTAGAGACTGCTGGCTCCAGGTTCTCAGGTGCAAGCTCCCCCAGGGCTTAGAGGGAACATGGAAACTGACAGGTGGTTTCCATGTGAACAAAATAATATCAGTTTTATGTTTTCTCTTCGATTGTCTAATGGCTTTCATGCAAAACAGAAGGATTTTATGATAAGATACATTATAGAGGCTTAGAGATCAGAGTCTACACCTTTAAAACTTTAGCATGTAGCAAATAAAAGTCGTATTCAAGGAGCGCATTAGAACTAAAACAGCCTCCACCTTCATGTCCCCCCAGAGCCTTTGTTCTAACTGGGTATCACTTACATTATTAAAAATTAAAGGCATTAGAGAAGGCAGATAAATTCTCATCATAAAGGCCTCATTAAAATGTCCAACTGCTAATTTAGACTTTCATGAGTTGGTGTTTAACCTCTTATTTGGTGATGCAAATGAATCTATATAATAACTTTATATAATATAGAAAGCGTATATACATATATATGCTTATCATGTATTTCTTTTGATTGGAAACAGACTCTAGAGCATCTCTGCTGGTAAGAGGGTTCTTTTACGGTTAGTTTGGGGTAGTGGCTCTGATAGCTGGGTCATGTTCCCTCCCACTGGATCCTCTTGTACCTTTTGGTAATGCCTCACACCTCTTATCTGTGAGATGCTCTGCTATTTCATGTCCCCCCCCACCCAACTCCCAATTTTTTTCTTTTCTTGAGTGCACCTTTAAAAGTTAACAATTCCTATTATCTATCTATCTATCTATCTATCTATCTATCTATCTATCTATCTATCTATCTATCTATATCTATCATCTATCTATCTATCTATATCTATCCATCCATCATCTATCTATCATCTATCTATCTATCCTATCTATCTATCTAATCTATCTATCATCTATTTATGTGCACGTTTATGGACACATACGAGTTACAGTGCATGTGTGGAGGTCAGAGGAAAACTTTAAGGAAGCGGTTGTTTCCTGCCACCATGTGGAGACCTGGGATTGAACTCAGTTGTATTGAACTAGGTTGTTGGGCTCAGTGGCTGTGGGAGACAGGCTTGAGCCTAGGGTGAAAGTCTTATTGACAGCCATATAGCAGGCCTGAGGCAACAGCTCGAACGATGGAGCCACAAGGAACGCCTTGTGACATTTTGCTCCCATTGGCAGATCATGAGACTGATGCCTAGAGCTCGCCACTCCCTAATCACCACCCTTGGATACCTCACCTTTAAACTA